GGCCAATAAGACCTGGGGGACAAGAAGGGAATAAAAGGAAGGAGAAGGCAGAGCCAGGGGTTCTAGAAGACCAGCTTTACCCACGGGGCCCTGGGCAGCAGGCTGAGCACGGGCTCCTTACTGCCATCTCCTGGCCTCTCACAGTCCTACCTGTTGCCCCAGGTGGCCGCCTACGTGAACACAGCTCTCTGGAGGCTGCGGCTGGACTCCACGTAGGCAGTGATCTTCTGCAGGCCCTAGGAGTGGGTGTTAGCGGAGATGGGTGGGGTAGGTTCTTGTCTTCCTGCGAGAAAGAATTCAGTGAGACAGAGAACAGCGGTAAGCAAGGCAGCAAGGTTTAATGGCGCAGGACGTCCATCAGAATGGATGGGACAGAACCCGAGAGAGAGTGCCAGTCACACAGACTCAGGAAGCGAGGATGCATGGGTTAATGGAGAGAGTACACCTGGCAGGCCAGGCGGGAGGCTCGGCAGAGAGCGGAGTGCTGAGCGCTCAGTCTCTATTCAGACTGGGACTTATGAGGGAAAGGGGTCCAGTTCTTCCCGCCATTCCTCCTTCCTCTGCTCCTTCTCCTCCCCCAGGACAAAGAGTTGCTGGATATGAATCAGGTAAAATTCCTCCCAAGTTTCACGACCCAGTGCTATCAGACTAGGGAGCCCACCCTAGGGCTCCTGCCTTGGAGAAAGGACGTGAAGGTTTTATGGCTCAGTGTCCCCAGGCCAGGTAACCCATTTGGTGCTAAGGAGAGAGGATTCTGAGGGGAGGTGTTACTGGGGGGTGGGGGTGGAACCTGTCCACCTGAAAGTCACAGGGACCGGGCAGGACCTTGCAGTGTAAAATCCTGGGCTGCTTCCAAGGTGAGATTCTGCAGCTGCTTTGTTTTCCTTAGGCCTCTCTCACACACATAGACTACTAAACATGGACAGGGACAGAGCTCAGGGTCTGCGGCCCCTCCGGGCTTCCAGCAGCCCCAGTGCAGGCCCAGCACGGCAGGACCCTGGCAGCTGCCTGCACGCGGGCTCCATGCCTGGAGAACCGCACGGTCTTCTTAGGGTCCACGGCCCTGGGGAGCTCACTCTTCAGGGACCTTCGACTGAGGGCGTTCCTGAATAGGACCCAGCAGTCAGGGAGACTCTGCACTGAGCAAGGTGGCTGCCCCACTGGAGACGGCCGTGGAGGCCCAGAAAGTCCGCTCCACCGTCCTGCAGGTTCAGGTCTATATTTACCCGGAGGGAACCTGAGCTGCACGGAGGAGAGCTGCCTCCCCACGATGCACAGCTGTGCCTGAGCCCCAGCTGCACTCTGCCCCGTGTGCTCTCTGCTCCCCTCCACAGCAAGCCCGTCAGTCCCTGTCCACACAGATTTCTCTCTTCTCAGGAGGCTCCGGGATTGCCAGGGTTCGCACACGGAGCGGGGACTCTTACAGAGCAAGGACGCTTAGAGCACGCACGTGTGCCTGGCAGAGAGCCCAGATCTCACCCAGCGACTCAGCAAATCCTGGATGAAAATCGATAGAGGGAGGTAAACCCGCAGAAAACAGCGAGGCGGGGCCCTGATCACTTCCCTGGAAGCAGGAGGTCCTGACCTCCCCAGCGGGCACGGAGCCCAGTCTCCCGCTACCCAACCCTCCCCGCCTCCAGCCCAGCCCAGGGACCAGGCTGAAGGACGCCCAGCCAAGCCCCGTGCACCTTCTTATTAGGAGAGAGAGGGCTCAGGTAGTGGACAAAGGCTTTGCAGAGATCCAGGGCTGCCTGACCCCCAAGCTCAAGCTGCAACCCAAAGCTCCCTTCCCTCATGCAGGTGCACCGGCTGTTCTTAAATCCCCAGGGCTGCAAGTCTGGCCCTGAGCCAGACCCAAAGAGAAGGCGCTGAGAAGGCGCAGCTCTGGGTGGGAGGGTGGGACAGGTAACAGATTCTAGGCTGAAAGGAGGTGGGATGGTGGCCTCAATGCCCGAGTCTGTGAGAAACCAGGCTGTGCTGCCATCAGACGCGTTGCCCTGGGACATGATTAGCAGAGAGGTGGGGCCCAGGCGGTGCTCCTGGCACGCAGGTGCTGCCACACGGCCTGCCCAGCTGCTGTGCCTGCAGTTCCCCAGCACGGGGTCACCTTGGCACGTCCCACCGTGCCTGGTGCCGTGCCTCCCCCAGAGCAGAGGGTCAGTGCAGAGGAGTGAAAATAAGGGACCTGCCCATGTCACACAGGACACGTGGCCACGAAAAGGAACAAAGCGAGGAAGGGAAGGAACGTGCCCCCCGTGAACAGCTCGGGACAATGCCGCTTAACAGGGCTCCCAGGTGCGCCCTCAAACCCAGCACGAGCGGCCGGCCTGGGACCTCAGCGCTTCCCCACGCGGGCACCCACGCTCTGGAGATCACACACGAGCGTCATCTGTGACTCTGACACTGAACCTCAATCCTACCTCGTCTCAGCCTGCAGATGCCAGCTCCATACACACTGCTGACGCCCTGCCTCTCCCACGGTGTCCTGGGCTGGGAGACACAGCCTGGACCAGGGCCTGAGGCTTTCCCTTTCAGCACGGTGCAGGGCCCCTGCTGAACACTGCGGAGCAGAGCTGCCGGCACCCTCAGCTCTTCCCCAGGGACTGCACAGCGCAGAATAGATGATGTGTTACAGCTGCTGTCTTGGCACCTCTTGGAGGTTGGTCTCTTCCTACTGGTTCCACAGTGGGGATATTAGGCATAGACATTGTAGTGGGCAGCAGCAGATTACAAACAGAGGCAGGAGACACAATGCAGGCAGCCATTCCTTCAGAGCAAAATCACCCAGGAGACGCCAAACCATCCCCAGCTAGGTCCTAGTCCCATCAGGTCAACTTTTACACTTGATTTCATCAAAAGACTGAGACGCGATATCAGATCAACTTTTGCGCTTGCCTAAATCTGAAGTTCACAGTTAGACTACTTCTGTCCAAGGATTTGAAATGCATGTTTCATCTTTTATAAGGGCGTCTTAATTCACTGCACAATAGTGCAGCCCTGAAATACCCTTGAATTTGAGATTTGAGACCAAGGAGAACTAGAAGGGACTTCAAAAAAGTCCATGGAAAATACAACCAAAACTTAAGTTTATATTGGTTCAAAAGGATTGTGAAACCTGTGCATACTAGGGATCTTCAGAAAGTTCATAAAAATGCATATTCTACAAAATTACATATGGATTTCAGACTTTATCTTTAGACTTATTTGAAAGGCAGGGTTACAGAGAGGCGGAGAGAGAGAGGGAGAGAGGGAGGTCATCCATCTGCCGGTTCACTCCCCAGAGAGCTGCAACAGCTGGAGGTGTGCCGATCCCAAGCCAGGAGCCAGAAGCTTTCTCCAGGTCTCCCACGAAGGGTGCAGGGGCCCAAGGACGTGGACCATCTTCCACCGTTTTCCCAGCCCATATCAGAGAGCTGGATTGGAAGTGGAGCAGCCGGGACTCAAACTGGTGCCCACATGGGATTCCAACACTGTACCAGCAGCTCCACCAGCTAGGCCACAGCGCCATCCCTTCAGACACTTTTGAACCAAAATAAACATCGATTTCATATTTTTAAATACCCTCATAGAGCAAACTGTTGCTTCCAGTTGTGTTTCAAATGTATCATTTGGGGGCCTGCGCTGTGGTGTAGTAGGTTCAGCCTCTGCCTGCAGCACTGACATCCCATAGGGGCGCAGGTTTGATTCCCAGCTGCTCTACTTCTAGTCCAGCTCCCTGCTATAGCCTGGAAAAACAGTAGAAGATGGCCCAAGTGCTTAGGCCCCTGTACCCACATGAGAGACCCGGAAGAGACTCTTGGCTCCTGGCTTTGGCTCAACACAGCAATAGAGCCTGCAGGTGGGCACATCTTGTCCTCATCTACTCCTCTGTTGGGGGACACTGAGGTGGGTCCATCCCTGTCGTGAGTGGGGCTGTCATGGTCCTGGGTGGACAAACAGATCTTCAGAACTTGTTTTTTTTTTTTTTTTCTACTTACACAGAAGTGAGATTCCTGCCTAATTTTGTAATTCTATTTATTACCATTTTTCTGAGGAACACAATGCTGATTTGCACAATGGCTGGGCCATTTTACATTCACACCACAGAGCATAAGGGTTCCAGTTTCCCCAAGCACACAGCACTTTGTCCTGCTTTGGGCCACAGCCATCACAATGTGTGTGGGGGGCGACCCCGTGCAGCGGCGCCTTGCCCTTCTCTGCTCAGTGCTGTTGGGCAACTTCCAGGTGCCTATTGTACATCTCCTCTGGGAAATGTCGGCTCGAGGCCCTCACCCATTAAGAACTGAGCTGCTTGGTCTCATTGTTTCTGCACCACGTGCTTGTGTAATCTAGTCGTGCTGGTCACAGCCCTGGCTCATTCCTGCACGTATTATCCACGGTTGATTCTTCACAAACGTGGGGTGGGGAACTCAGCACAGACTGTGTGTCCTGCAAAGCCTGAATACCGGCCGCTTAGGGAAGATGCTCGCTGCCTCCTGTTCCAGATGGACGTCTACCACCTGATTTACAACATGTCACCTGAACCTTCCAGGACTTTTCTCTCTTCTGACTTAAAGTGTAAGAAAACTTTGGCTTAACTACTTTTGCACAATAGGTTCAGAAGCATTTAGTTTGGCTGAACTCTGACCTTACAAACTGTATCTTTTTGAATGAATCATTTGTTTCCCACCGACGTTACCAATAGTTCTACTGTGGATTTTTATTTGACTTCAAAGTGCAGCTTCAGGCAGTGATTGTACTGACAGATTCCAACAGGACAACCTTGTGGGTGCTACTCTACACCTCCTCTGGCTCAGGAAACTCCTCGCAGAGTGCCAGGCCCCCATGAAGAGTGACAACTGGCATAGGATTCTGAGAAAATTTGTTCACATTTCCAAACTTGGGGTACACCTCCTGTATGCCAGGCACCAGGGCACAGGACTCAGGTAAGACACAGAGGGATGCCTCCTCCATGGGTCCATGACTCAGCTGGGGTTTCAAATACACACAGACAACAATGATTATACAGTGGGATGTTTTATTGAGAAATGTTCTGAAACTGTAGACGAGAGCATCTGCATCAGGGAAAGCTTCCGGGAGGAGGTGACAGAGGGGTCTGCCCAAGCCTGCTCAGCCCCGTCCCCATCAGCCCAGCGGCTCTCAGAACCACGGCACAGCTGTACGTGGTCCTCGGCGCCCTCCCTCCAGGGTGAAGGAACGAGGAACCTGGGCAGAGGAGAAACCCAGGGTGAGGAGCAGAGCAACATGGAGAGGGCCCGGAAATGAACAAGGTCCCTCATAGCCCTGCCTGAGCACCCACTCCCCCCACACTAATCCTGCCCCACCCAGCCCCTGCTGTGGGCAGCAGAATAAAGATAATCCCCCAAGGTCTGCACAGTCAGCACAGAGTCAGGGCATCACAGGGGGTAAGAAGTGCCCTGGCTGAGGTCAGGGGCTCCTGGGGACCAGACAGCACTGGGGCGACCCCGCTGGGGAGCAGGGCCACAGCCCAGGCACACCATGTTTCTGGAAGTCTGGAGAGCTCAGACAGGGCCCACAAAGAGAGATGAGGACCGTGGGGTCGGCTTAGTGGGGAAAGAGCAGCCTTAGAGAGGCCATGGCTGAGAAGGGTGGGGGCTGAGCCTGGCCAGAGCCTGCATGGGAGGGGCTGGCTCAGGACACAGGCAGGCAGCAGGTTGATGGGGGAGGAGCTGAAAGGAGAAAGAATGAGAAGCCAGAGGAGGGCCTGGGAGACCTGAGCTCCCAGCGCCATGCCCACCTCCTTCCAGGGCCCTATATTCCCCTCCACTTGGCTGTCTTTGCACACACAGGCACTCGGAGGAAGCGGCTGGACTTCATGTAGGCAGAGATCTTCGGCAGGCCCTGGAGTTGGAAACAGAAAGCACAAGGAGTCAGGGTCTGCGGCCCCACTGGGCTTCAGGCAGCCCCAGCGCATCACGGCAGGACCCCGACAGCGCCTCTGCCCAGGGCCTCACTGGCTGCAGGGAGTCTCATAGGACCACAGCCCTGCTGGGTCCACGCTGCCTTACTTACGACTCACGTCCCGCCTTCAAGAGAACTATGGGTAGGAGAGGCTGACAGCGCGGTGCAGACTCAGAGCCCACCCGACTCCCCGCAGGGTCCGTTCCTGGCCACCTTCCACCCGAAGAGAACCCGAGCGTCACAGTGGGTCAGCTGCTTCCTCGGGGTTAAGGGACTGAGCAGGGAGACGGGCAGGACACGGCCTGGCTCTGTCTCTCTCCCACTCTGCCCTACCTCCCCACCCCACAAAGGCTGTCACCCCGTCTGCACAAACATTCTCCTTTTCGCAACGAGGCTGCCGGCATCCCTGGGATTGCACACAAGGAGGGACATCCAACGGGACAAAGGGGCTGAGCCCACGCCAGGGAAGCTTGCAAAGCAGCCCGGCTCTCACCCAGTGACTCTGCAAGCCCTGAACTTAGGGAACAGGAGGAGCTGAAGCAGCAGAGCAAGGCCAGGCCAGGCTCCACCCACTCCCCCTTGGACGCAGGAAGTCCTCACTCCTGCACTCAGCGTCTGCGCCCGATCTCACTGCCTCAGCCCCTCATCCTGAGCCCTGCTCCACACACAAGGCCAGGAAACACATGCCAAGTCCTCTACACCAGGACAACCGTGCCCAGGGACTTCCTAAAGAACTCAGAGGGGTGCACGGTGTTCTGGACCTAACGGGCCTGGCCTGTTTGGGCTGCAGGGTCGCACACAGATCTAATCTCTGCCTCTCCTCCCGGGATCACAGCGTTGAGCCGACTGTTGCAGAATCACCAAGGCCACAGGCCTGGACCTGATCCAGAGCTGATGAGAAGGGCTGAGAAGGCAAGCTCTGGATGGGAGTGGACCAGGAAAAGGACTGTAGGCTGAAAAACCTGTTTTCCAAATGCCTCATATTTCAAATGTGTGATAAAGTAGGATTTGTTGGGAGCAAACAAGCCGTCCCTGGGAGATGGACGTGCCTGTGTGTGAGGTCAGGGCTCTGCTCCTCAGCACCACCACCCACCTCCCAGCTCTGCGGAGCCTGCAGCTCTATGCTCAGGTCCAGCATGGAGTCACCATGCACGTGCATCCGTGCAAAAACAGGCCCTGTGCTACGTCACAGGCAGAACAGTGGGGCGCTGCATCAGAACAAGAGGGAGGGAGGGAGTGGAAGGAAGTCTGCATCGTCCCACAATCAGGACAGGATCCTGCACCAGGGGCGCCTGCATCACATCCATCCCGGCACCTGCACAGCCCTGGGACCTCAGTGCTTCCCCACAGGGACCTGATTGGTGGGAGCACACTGTCCATCATTATGATCGCTGCCAGTGTCCCTGACGCACACCCTCAATCCTCCCTGGTCTCAGCCCTCCTGAGGCCAGCTGCACACACGGCTGAATGTCCTGCCTCTCCCGTAGAGTCCTGGGAGGGGAGACACAGGCTGCACAAGGGCCTGAGGCTGCACCTCTTAGCACAAAATTGGGAGAATCAACCAACTGCTGCCCACAGCCACCAGTGCTCACAGGGAGCCCAGCACAGCCCAGCCTGACGCCGGGACCCTGAGCAACTGGCTCACCCCTACACTCTTAGTTTGTTAGTTTCAGATGAGAAGACGATTTTATCCACCTTGAGGGGACACCTTGTAGATACACCTGACTCAACCGACATAAGACGCCAAGCCTGGGTCCTCAGTTCCCAGCTGGGCTGCACTTTAGCTCCAGGACTCTGAGCATGGAGGGACGGGAACAGGGAAAAGACAGTGCAGGGGGAGGAGGCTCAGGGAGTCACCTCGAAGCGGGACATGAAATCCTTCAGGTTTGGGAACGCGTCCAGGCACCCAGGCACAAATATCCGGGTCTGGTCAAGGATGTCGTAGACAAGGAAATCGGCGAAGGTGATCTGCAGGAGCCAGGATGACAGAGCTCAGTCCCAGAGGAAGACCGCCCCCACTTCCGCCCCACCCCACCCCCACCCCCACTCTACCTTGTCCCCTGCGAACCAGGGCCGCTTCCCCAGGAACTGCGAGTACAGCTGCAGCTTCTCAGGGAGCCCCTTCAGGTACTCGGGCTTGAGCTTCTCCTGAGGCAGAATCAGCTGTCACCACCCTCAGACACAGAGCCCTGCAGACAGGCACCGCCCAGTGCTGCCCGGCCCCGCTGGCCAGGGCTGAGCAGCAGAGTGGCCCTGGGCAGTGCCCCCCGCTTCCACTTCGTTCCTCAGCACTGAATAGACACCTACTGGGTACCACACCCTGTCTCACAGCAACGGGAAGTCACAGAGGAACCCAGCACTGTCACTGAACCTGTCACCACCGAAGTCCACAGAACCTCTAAGGGTCAGAGCCAGGAGTGCTATGAGCACCTGCTTGCCCTGGACTCAGACGTGGGGAGAAAGCAAAGAGACAAAGAACTGAGAGATCTCGGGAGAGCAGCCGAACCCTCCCCGGGGCGACAGGGGAACAGAACAGGTATCTGCAGATACAGAAGATGAGACTTCGACACTGAGGGATGGAGGGAGAGGAACAAAGGTCCCTGGCTGACCTGGGCTGCCCATCGAGAACTACTCTTATCCCTGTGGGGGGCAGGAGACAGCGCTGGGATAGGGCACCCATATGATGACGCCCCATCTTGAACTACTGCTACTCATGTACTGGGACTCTGTACCCAGGCGCTGGCACATGGTGGGAACAGCTGGGAAAGACGGCCCTTGATGAGGGTCAAAGGTTAGGCATGAACTGGATTCTGGGGCAATTACATATTTTGAAACTGAAGTTCCCCTCGTATGGAATCAACATGTTGGACTGATAGGAAATTTCTTGGAGAAGCAGTTCCCCAGGGAGTTTAATGCCAAACAGGAGCAGTGCAGATGTGAACACAAGAGTGCAACTCACTGAACCCTGCCACACCCAACCCAGCGGGCACTCACGAAGTCGGGACTGTAGCACATCATGCCGAATTGCATGCGGTTGTCCATAACCTGGTTCTCTAGAATGTCCACGCGAATCCTCTCCTCTTCCGTCTCCCCATCTGCAGCCCACACCACAGACACATAAGTGTCCCGGCCAGCCCCGCCCAGGGGACGCCTCCCGCCCCACCCTGCAGCCAGCCCCACTCACACAGGCCGTGCTTGCGGGCCAGGTAGCGCAGGATGGCGTTGCTCTGCGTGAGCTTGTGAGTCCCATCAATTAGGTAGGGCAGCTGCGTGGTGACCAGGGCAGTCAGCTGGGCTCCCGGGCTCCCAGCATCCCCTTCCCCGAGCAGGGGCAGACGGGACACCCGGCACCCTCTGTGCCCGGCCCATGGCAGGCTCTAAGCACACACTCTGTACAGTGAGTGAGTGAGCTATGACACAGAACATCACGGAAAAGCACTGTAGAGAACCAGGGTGACAGTGGTGAGCACAAGGCCCTGACCTCAGACCTCCAAGCTGGGGAAGGAGACGGAGGCACAGATACCTTGCTCCTCCCCCATCCCATCCCCAACTCCGTCCCCTGCACCTACATTGGGAAAGTCCAGGCCCAGTGTGAATTTCTCACTCAGCCACTGGCTTTTGTCATAGTCGGGAGCTGTGGAGTAAATGAAGTGAGAACAAACCTCCCAAGTGTGCAGCCCTCACCTCCAGGACCCTCCCGAGGAGTCAGGGGCGAGACCCCCTCCCCCAAACAGGCATCTGGGATCTGAACCACTGGGTGTCATATCCAGTTCTGGGGGAAAAGAGTGAAGGTAAGGGGTCTGGACCCTGCATGCAACAGGCTTCCAAAAGGTGTGGGGACGACTATGGGAGACCCCAACCAATCCCAGCCTAGCACCCTGCCTTGGGACACCACACCTGCAAGCTCCAGGGGACCGGGGAAGGGGCAGGCTCAGCTCCAGCTGGTGGGGGCTGCACAGGAGTGCAAAGGGTGGCCACAAGGGGTTAACATGTCAATCGCCACGGGCTGGGCAGAAGTCAGAGCAGACAGGCGGGTGCATTACCGTCCCCCATCGTGTATCTCTTTTCCTCATAGCTGGTGTCCGTGTATTCCAGGAGCAGGCGGATGGCGTGGGCCAGCTGGAGGAGATGACCCGGGGCAAGGGACAGAGTTGGGGGGACTCTGCCTGCGGCCCCGTCTCCTCCAGGTGAGCCCCCACCCTAGGCCTACTGCCACTCCCCCCTCCCCCAGGCCTACTGCCAATCCCCCCCCCCCCCCCCCCCCCGCCACCCGACTACGGGCCAGCTCGGTGAGTTCCGGATGGCCTCAGAGGTGTCCACAAGGTCCTCCAGGAACCAAGGCCTAAAGTCTCCCCAGCTGCCCAGGCCCCCGCCCCCGCCCCTCTGGCTGAGCGGACCCCTCGCTCACCCCGCGGATGTCCCAGTAACCCAGCGTCACAGGCATCGTGCAGGTCCTGTGGTCTCAGAGGAATGGCTTCCGTGGTATGGGCCTGGTGATTTTAGAAGAGCTTTGGCGGCCAGGAGGGGCGGAGCTTGCTGTGAACGCGTCTTGCCCCGCCCCTAATTCCGTGCGTTCCCGGAGGTCCGGAAAGCAGCGCTCGGCCCCACCCACAGGAAGGAGCAGGACCAAGGCCGCCCCCAAGGTCCACTGGATGGATAGGTGTCTGGACGGACAGAGGGCCAGCGCAGGGCCGTAGTTGGCCGCGTCCCCAGGCCACTGTGCTGGGTCCCAGGAGTGGGCAGTACCATTGGTAGAAGAGCCAGGGCTTAACACAGCGTCACAGTTCCCCGCTCCTTGCTCCGTTGTCTGGCTCCGCCTTCGTCCTGGGATTGCCCAGCTACCGCCTCCCCCCAGCCCCACACACACACTGGGAGTTCTGGGAAGTTAGCTGCTGGCTCAGGCCTAAAAGAAGGTGAGTGGCCCGAAACCTTGGTTTAATTCAGCATCTACCATTGCAAGGTATGAGCCTCTCAGTAAAGAGTGAATATTCTGGCCCAGCAGGTGCACGAGGTGTCTCCCCCAGAAGCCTCCTGCCAGGCAGCTGGGTCTGGCTGTGTCTGGTTTGGGGTCCGGTTTGAGTGACAAGTTCATCCCAATGCAGTAGCACTGAGAGGCAGGATCTTTGAGGGGGATAAGGTCCTAGGGCTCCACACTCATTAAAAGATGACCTAGTTAGTAGCAAAAAATCTGATTAAAAATGGGGAAAAGGCATGACTAGACATTTCTCAAAAAAAGATAGGCACATTGCCAACAACTGTATGAAAAGTTCTTTTTTAAAGAAGGTTTTATTTATTTATTGACTGGCAGAGTTAGAGACAGTGAGAGGAAGAGACAGAAAGAAAGGTCTTCCATCTGCTGGTTCACTCTCCAGTGTCTACAACGGCCAGAGCTGGGCCTATCTGTAGCCAGGAGCAAGGAGCTTCCTCCAGGCCTCCAACGTGGGTAAAGGAGCCCAAACACTTAGACCATCTGCTGGTTTCCCGGACCATTAGCAGGGAGCTAGATCAGAAGTGGAGCAACCGGGACTCAAACCCATCCACTCAGCTCAGGCCCCTGTCTGTGTGCAGGCTCAGCAAACAGGCCACAGCGTGGATTCCTTGGTAGGTTTCCCACAGCAGGACGATAGCACCATGTGCACACCCCTGGGCCCGGACCTCTCAACTGGTCCAGTTCTCAGCATCCATCAAGACTTTGTCATTCTGAACTGTGTGCCTCTGAAGCCAAGAAAAATGGAATTTCTACATTCAGCTGAGAAAAGACTCTTTAAATAAGCCAGCAGTGATTGGAGTAAGAATTCTGAAAGACACAGAAGGGACAGGGGCACGTGGGCAGTCATCCCTTTGGTCACCCCTTTACTGAGAACTCAGTTGTTGAGGGCCCACTCTGCACCAGCCCTAGGACCAGGAACCCTTCAAGGGGAACTCCCGGAATTCCATCTTCCATGGGAGTCTCCCAAGTCCTTGAGCCATCACCTGCTGCTGCCTGGGCATGTGACATGGAGCTGGATTGGAAGCAGACTACCAAGGACTCCAGTGTGGGATGGGGACAGCCAGGCACAGCTCAGCCCACTGCGCCGCAACTCTCACCCCATCTTCTCCTTACATTCTAACACCCTGCACGCCGATTTTCAAATCTTTCCTCAAATGATCCCAGAATTAAAAGAAGAATGCACTTAGAGCATGTGCGTGTGTTGTAAAGCCTTTGACTTATTGTGGGGTGAATTTAGAAAACCCAGGATGCTTACTTACATCTGAAAATGAGAAAATGTACTTCACCCTTTACAGATAGAACCAAGTAGCAATTGAGAAAAAAATTCCCATCTAGCTAAGATGGATTAGGAATAAGAGAAGATAAAGGAGGCTTCTAAGAAAGTAGATTAGCAACAAAAGTCAAGGTAAAAAGTGTGGCCATCAAGGAATAATGTGGCAAAGGTTAACACCTGGGGTATTACAGAATTCTTCAACTCTCGCAAATTTTCTTGAAGTCAACATGATAACCAAATAAAAAGGTTTTGTTTGTTTGTTATATTTTTAAAAGACAAGCTGGAGAAGCAGAGCGGTGATGGAATGCAGTACCAGTGCGGAGGCCTGAGAGCTAGGTGGGTGGTTGAGAGCTGTAAGGTCGCCACAAAGCACACCAAGCACCAGAGGAAGGGGAAGGGTTTATTGGTGGGGAAACCCCAGAGACTGGAGGGAAGGGCTGAAGAAGGAAAAAGAGAGAGGAGAGTGAGAGAGAGAGAGGGAGAGAGAGAGAGAGTGCTGTTCAGGATAGGTTCTCTTAATACTTTGCCGGGGAGGGGGGCGGGGGGCAGGCAGGGAAGTAGGAGCAGCGAATCCCATGAGGGTGGGGGTGGAGCTGACACCTGTGATGGGGCCATGTGGTCACCTGGCTTCCAGCAATGGCAGCAGGGCTAGAGCCTAAGCTGGTGTCCGGGGCGTACATCGCACTACAGTAAGACTGTGCCATTTCACTAACAAGAGCCATAGTCCAAGTCTCAGACCAGGTCTGAGGACCACAGAACGAGGAGGGCCACTGTCCCCAGGCAAGGGAAGATGGGTGTGCAGGCTAACAGAGAGGGAGCTCACTCCTCTCCACCTCTGCCTCTCTAGTTAAGCTTTGGTGCTGGACGATGGCCGTGGATCTTCTATACTTGCTCTGTTGACTCACACGCTGATCTTTCCATAAATATTCTCACAGACACACACAGAAAAATGGATGCCATGTCAAGGTTGACACTTAAAATAATGGTCATTTCAGGATGTTAAGGAATTCTATTTTGACCAGATACTCTAAGTTCTCTTGGCATCTTTAACGAACTTTCTAAAATCAAAGTTCTAAATTCTCTGGACTTTTGATATTTTCAGAGGACCCCTGGAGATGTCAAAAGATATATCTCTCATCTTGCGGAGATAATAACCAATCGGGCTGTTTAGATTAAAAGTGTTGCCAAGATGTGAAATGATGCTAAATTTCTGATGTACACTTGTTTTTTTCTAGCTGCTTCAGTCTCTGGCTCAGAAGCCAGAATCTTTAAAGGGGGACTGACAAAGTATCCATGCAGCTAATGCTGAATAACCAGGCATTGCTAGTTCAAATATATTGCTAGTTCAAATGTGGATCAAATGGAGGTCTAGCCAAAAGGGAGAAAGTGTTCCAAAAGAGACTTAGAGACGATTGGAGATGGTTATGTGTCAGATACTAGAGAACTGGGTTCCAGGAGCCCAAGAAAGCTCTAGTGTCCACAGGCTACATGGTGAAAACCTGGAAGCCCAAAAACTTAAACCTATGGGTTACACGGTAAGACTAGTTAAACCCGGAAACACAGGCCCATAACCCACTGGCTACACGGTAAATATCTGGAAGCCGAAGGATGGCAGAGACCTCTGCCACAACTTCTCCTCTAAGTCAGGCTACGCAGGAACACTGGTTAAATGCCAGTTAAATCTGAAAGCCCAGGAAGTCAGGCTAGAGACCCGACTCGCTGCCTCACTTCTCCTCTTTTCTCTTCTAGAAGAGAAGTTACTACTGTTCTGCAGGACTCTCCACTGTGATGTACGGTTTGATCCCCAGACCTTATGTAAGGGATGACTGACCTTTTCTGTAATAATGCCTGGCCACAGTATAGAGGACCAAACAGCATAGCCAGAAAAAGAGAGGTTAAACTATAAAATAATGTTACAGCTAGATTGATTTTTCGGTGTACATGGTAAATGGGCAGAACTCCCCTTTTAAACCAGGTTGAGGGAAAGATAGGAAGTTGTACTGATGACCTCAAAATATATAAACAGGTCACCACAGTTGATCTTACCTAAAATGTTCTCTTCTATGTCACCCTGATGATATTAAAAATATCTTAAAAAATCAGGGTTGGGTTGAGCATCCCCTTGACTGATATCATAGAGGCTGCCTCCATGGACTACTTTATTAGAGACCAGGAGAACGAGGAGCAAGCTCGCAGCAGGAGCAATGTAAGGACAGGCAACAGACCAATCAATGGCTGCTTAGCATGGTGATCTGCCATCAAGGAGACCCAGCAAGGCCAGTGCACCCCAAATGGCACCTGTTTCTGATATGAGGAGCCAGGGCATTGGGCAAGCAGCTGTCCTGTCAGAAACTGGCTTCTGTCAGCTCTGCCAAGAGCAAGGCCACTGGACATGGAACTGCCCTGGGTGCCTAAAGACTCCTGGTTCAGAACTGTAGACCCTGTGGCCTCGAGCTAAAAAGCCTTTGGCTCTGCCCAGCCTTTGTCCAGCCTCCAGCTCTAGCCACTGCTATTGAGGGGATGGCCTAGGATCAGTGAAACATAAGTTGCCTATTTGCACCAGCCTCCTATTCAGCTCTCCTCCTAGTCCAGCCATGTAATGGGAGTCAACAGGGTGCCTCCCTTAAAGGAGATTCGTGGGCTGGTGCTGTGGCTCACTAGGCTAATCCTCCGCCTTGCGGCGCCGGCACACTGGGTTCTAGTCCCGGTCAGGGCGCTGGATTCTGTCCCGGTTGCCCCTCTTCCAGTCCAGCTCTCTGCTGTGGCCAGGGAGTGCTTTGGAGGATGGCCCAAGTCCTTGGGCCCTGCATCCCATGGGAGACCAGGATAAGCACCTGGCTCCTGCCATCAGATCAGCGTGGTGCGCCGGCCGCGGCGGCCATTGGAGGGTGAACCAACAGCAAAAGGAAGACCTTTCTCTCTGTCTCTCTCTCTCTCTCTCTCTCACTGTCACTCTGCAAAAAAAAAAAAAAAAAAAAGGAGATTCGCATCTCTTGCAATTCTCTTCCAGCACCCCATGGATAGGTCTGGGCCTCACATACCCAGGCAGGACTTAAAAGTCTATCCAATAGTATTAAGCTTAGAAAGCCCTTCCTGCCAGTTCCTAAAAAAACAGAGCTTTCAGTAACAGCTAACTCAGATAGTCCTGCACCTATTTGGACAGGTCCTCACTGAGGACTTAAAGGGCTATCTCTTGAGGGAGGTGCACAATAATCCATAATGTAGATGGTTAAATGTAAATGATTTGTTAGTCTGTCTCCTCTCCCAGCCTGAGACTCTAGTCTTGTATATTGGCTTAACTCCCTAGCAAAACTAGTTACTAGATATCCAGAGGGAAAAAAGGCATAGCCAGTCCATTAGAGTGTTAATTATTTAACCCTAATCCTCACCCCTGGGGAGAGAAAACCAGCCCCAGAGAGGATATGGGTCATGCAGCAAATTCCTACTTCTGCAAACTTCAGGCAGTCCCAGCTTTTCTCTATAAGGTTACAGGTTCTTAGATAGAGGGAAATAGCACAGCTCCTAAACCAGGCTCTCAACAGGGAGCCAAAGCAGAGCCCCCTGCTTTGGGAGAAAGAGCAAACCACAGCCTTTGCTCAGCTAAAGGATGCTAAGACCAAAGCCCCTGTGTTAGGACTGCCAAACCCAGAGAAGCCCTACCAGCTGTATGTCACTGGGAGGCAGGGAGTTGCCTTAGGAGTGTTAACTCAGGATCTGGGACCTGTGGGCTACTTTTCTAAAACCTTAGACATGGTTGCACAAGGATGGCCTCACTGCCTAAGGATAATAGCAGCAGCTGCCTTGCTGACAGAGGAGGCATCTAAAATCACACTGGGACAAGATATCACCCTTTATACCTCACATCAAATAAATTCTCTATTAGAACAAAAGGATGCTCACTGACTCATAGTAAAATACTAAAATATCAGGTCCTCCTTCTAGAAAACCCTCAGATAAAAATAATGCATTGCTCCACTTTAAATCCAGCTACCTTAATGCCAGTTCCAGGGGAAAGTGGTCCCCTCCACTCCTGTACTAAGGCTATAGTGGCCTTGCAGTGCTAATTTCTGCCAGAACAAAATAAGATAAAAGAGCAAGCTTAGCCAGCCCCTGAATCTCTGGTTTCCTAATCCTGGATGTTCCATCACCATGCAAAACTCTGAGCTAAATAAACCTCACTTCTTTACAACTACCCAGGCTCATAGAAGATGCTGACACAAGACTTGCTGGTTCGCGATAATCTCTGCCACTGAGCTTTGCCTGAATCGTGACCCACACACACTGTTGCTGGTGACACTTTGGGCATCGCTGAGCTATTACAAACTACCTCTTTGCAGCTCATTCCCCGTGAGTCAGCGTGTCTGCAAGAGGAGGCGATGCTGGGGCCCTGGTGACTGATGAGTGAGGTGCAGGGAGCCTGCGCTCAGGGTGCTCCCGCAGCAAGAACAGCCTAGATTCCCAAGAGGCCTTCGGCTTGCAGCCTCAGGATGAGAGCCCAAGCCCCTTTCTTTAGTGAAGACGCAGGCATCCACACAGGGATCCAGGGCACAGCAGTGTCAGTCTTTCTCTCTCTCTCTCTCTCTCCCATCTCTCAAATAAATAGATAAATATTTTTAAAATGCCTATTCTAGTCTTGCTCAATTTTTAATGGGCTGTATCTTTGGTTATGTATTTGGATAAGAGACCAGCTATGGTTTGCATACAGTGGAGAGTATCTCCCAGTGGGGAGATGTTCCAGGAGGCAGAGCCTTTACCAGGTGATGCAGAGTGGAAGGAGGGTAGGTCAGGGGCTACCACAGTCTCTCGGGTTTCCCCACCAATAAGCCCTTCCCCTTCCTCCGGTGCTTGGTGTGCTTTGTGGTGGCCTTTCAGCTCTCAACCACCCACCTAGCTCTCAGGCCTCCGGACTGGTACTGGATTCCATCACTGCTCTGCTTCTCCAGCTTGTCTTTTAAAAATACAGCAAACGAACAAAACCTTTTTATTTGGTTATCATGTTGACTTCAAGAAAATTTGCCAGAAACTAGTGGGGAAATCCATCAGAGGTCAGATGGTCTCCACTCTGACCCCATACTCAGTCAGAAAACTAATGGAGTGAACACTGGGATAAAGACAGTATCAGTAGGGCCGGGGCTGGGGTGCAGTGGGTAATGCCACCTCCTGCAATGCCAACTCCTATATTGAAAATGGTTTGAGTCCCCACAGTTCCGCTTCTAACACAGCTCCCTACTAATGCACCTGTGAAAGCAGTAGAAGATGGCCTAAGTACTTGGGCTCCTGCATCCACTTGGGAAACCCTGAAGAAACTCCTGGCCCAGCTCCAGCTGTTGCTGCCATCTGGGGAGTGAAACAGAGGATGGAAGTCCTCTCTCTCTTTCTCTCTGTGACTTTGCTTTTCAAGTAAATAAATAAATCTTTAAAGAAAAAAAAAACAAAAACCAAAACCAAAAACTTAGATCAATGACTAGCCTTTAAAAAAAAAGACGATGATGACTTTATCAGAAAAGCCAAGACTCAAAAAATATATCTCACAGCTCCTATGACAGCTGTGCAGCAGGCCTGGGGAGGCCTCCAACGGCAGCTGAGAAAATGAGCAGAGACAGGGCCCTGGACACCTAGCAGAGGGGACAGAGCCACATAGTGAGGAGGCCAAAGGCTCCCGATTCCCTCTGCTGGGGACCCCACCCTGCTGCTCCCACTCCAGGAGCTGCATGGCTCTGCACAGCCATGGGGAGTGCACCATGGTGCAGGAGGCATGAATGAGAGGCCCAAACCCACAAAGGGGTCATCTCTGACCTCTACGGAGCCTCGGGGGCTGCCTGCTTTAAGAGGGGTCACTGATGAGAACACAAAGTCTGAGACCCCCCAGGACCCCACTCATTCCCTATAATCCCAGCACTGCCAGGGTCAGGGGTCAGCCAGCACTAGGAAGCAGCAGTGAGAGCTGGCGAGTGCGGGGAGCCAGAGGCAAGAAGACGAGACACAGAGGAAACGTGCTCCAGGCTTTACTGGGGGTCGACAGGGCTGGGGCAGCGACCACCTGGGGGAGGGGCCTGCACTGTAGGCAATGCTGGTCCTTCAGGGCAGGACTCCAGGAGCTCAGGGCTAAGGCTCCCAGGCCCGGGATCCAGTCTGGGTCCTCTGGGCAGACACAGCCACTGGTGGGCAGGACACAGGACCTGCAAGAGGGGGAATCCACTGGCATGAATGAGAGGGGAGTTGCTAAGGGTATTTTTGGAACAGGAGTGGGGTGGAGGGAGGAGGATCAACACGGTCTTGGGATGAGAAGGGACTGGAAGGGAGAAGGTGGGGGCAGGGGTGCAGGGCAGCGGGCTGAGCGCGGGCTCCTCACTCGCATCTCCTGGCCTCTCTGGGCCCTACTTGTTGCCCCACGTGGCCATCTTCGTGAACACAGGTCTCGGCAGGAAGCGGCTGGACTTCATGTAGGCAGAGATCTTCTCCAGGCCCTGAGAGTGGGGACAGGGCAGAGCTCAGGGTCTGCGGCCCCTCCGGGCTTCCAGCAGCCCCAGTGCAGGCCCAGCACGGCAGGACCCTGGCAGCTGCCTGCCCGCGGGCTCCATGCCTGGAGAACCACACGGTCTCCTTAGGGTCCACGGCCCTGGGGAGCTCACTCTTCAGGGACCTTCGACTGAGGTCGTTCCTGAAGAGGACCCAGCAGTCAGGGAGACTCTGCACTGAGCAAGGTGGCTGCCCCGCTGGGGACGGCCGTGGAGGCCCAGAAAGTCCCCTCCTCCGCCCTGCAAGTTCAGGTCTACGGTCACCACTTATCAGAAGGGAACTTGAGGAACGGGCAATTGGCAGTGTTAAGCCGCCACTTGGGACACCCCACCCCACACCAGAAAGCCTGGGTTCGAGTGTCAGCTCTACTCTCCATTGCAGCCCCTTGCTACTGCACATCCTGGGAGGCAACAGTGACAGCTCAAGTGCCTGCGTCCCTGCAACTCACAGGGAGACCAGATTGAGCTCCTGGCCCCGGCTCCAGCCTGGCCAGGTGGCTGCTGGGAGCGTTGGGGGAGGGGAACAGTGGAAGGGAGATCTCTGCCTGTCCCTGCTTTTCAAATAAATGTAAAAGGAAAACCCGGGGACCTGAGCCACAGAGAAGTCAAGCACCCTCCTCGTGCTCACATGACTACTGCGGCAGGGCTGGAAGCTCCTGGCCGTGTCTCTCTCAGATTCTGGATCCCTGCTGCCCTGCCCCTCCCTCCCCTGGAAGGTCACTCCTGGTCTGCGCAAACTTTCTCCCCTTCCCAGGAGGCTCTAGCTTGGCTGGGTTTGCACATGGAGTGGGGGTGCTGGCAGGCAGATGAGCTCAGACCACGCCTGCGCAGCTGGGAAGACAGCCCAGAGCTCACTCGGTGACACTGCTAAGCCTGCGCTGAAGTGACTACAGGGAGCTAAACTGGAAAGAAAAGTCCAGGCTCTAATCATTGCCGAGAAAAGAGGAAGCCCAGACTTCTTCCCCTGGTACCAGAGCCCAGTCTCTGCCCCAGCCTACCTCACTCCAGCCCTGGCACAGGGCACAAGGCCATACGGCAGCAGAAACACTGTGAACTGTGTTGCCAGGATTGAGAGTGCCCAGATAACAGCCCCCCCCCCAAGATTTATATTTTGAAAGGCAGAGTCCCAGAGAGGAGGAGGAGGAAGAAGAGGAGGAGGAGGAGGAGGAGGAGGGAGTGAGATTCCTCCCATCTGCTGATTCATTCTCCAAATGGCCTCAACAGCCTGGGTTGTGCCAAGCCAAAGCCAGAACCTGGAACTCCACCCAGGATTCCCACGTGGGTGGCAGGGATTCAGGTGATTGAGTGCCATGTGCTGCTTCCCAGGCACATTAGTAGGGAGCTGGCCAGGGAGCAGAGGAGCCGGCACTTGAACCCCAAGTGGTGGCTTAACCTGCCATACTACAATGCCAACCCATGCTCAGATAATTTCTAAAGGATTCAAAGAGATCCAGGACCCGCTGTACCCTCCAAGGCAAGGCACCCACAGACCGCAGACTGCAGCCCACTGCTCTCTGCACCACCCTCCTCCTGCAGTCATGCCAACTCTTCCGTAACCTCCAAGGCCATGTAGCCTGGCCCTGAGTCAGAGCTGATGAGAAGCTGCTGAGAAGGTACAGCTCCTGACAGGGAGTGGACTTCTAGGCTGAAAAGACCTCTTGGCTAATGCCTCAAATTCCCAAACCTGGGGCAGGCATTTGGTACAGCATTAAGACTCATTGGGATGCCCGCATCCCGTATCAGAGTGCAAGGGTCTGAGTTAGATCCATTTTGATTTTCGCTTCCTGCTAATGTGCTCTTTGGGAGGCAGCAGATGATGAAACAGACACTTGAGTCCCTGTCACCCGCATGGGAGACCTGGGTTGAGTTCCAGGCTCCTGGCTTTGGTCTGGCCCAGCCCTTCCTGTTGCAGGTACTTTGGGAGTGAATAAGTGGATGGATGATCACTCAGTCTGCCTCTGTCTCTGTCTCCCTCTCTTCACTTCTCTGCCTTTTTTTTTAATGTTTCAAATTTACTTTATTTCTTCAATAATGCAATATTTTGACTGGTACAGTGCTTTTACTTGGCATCACTTATGAGTTGGTTTTCAAGCAATTCAGTATTACACCAGCTGGGATGATGTGGGGAGCCCTTGCACGGCATCCTAAAGATGGCGCCGGCTCCTTTCTCCCGGAAGGACTGGCGAGAAACAAACAACTCCTAATAAGGAGATGGCTGAGCTCCCTTCCGGCTTCCGCATTGCTGTACCTATCAATCCTTGCCACTTGGCTGCTTTTGATTGGTGTGCTGATGGCTATAAGAGGGATGGGAGAGGGAAGGAGGCGGAAGAAGAAGCTTGTTCAAGGTTCCTGAATAAACTGCTTGAAGAAGAGTTCGGGTTGCGTCTTCCTTGCTGGTCGAGGGACGCGACAGGATGATTACTGTTTTCTCCATTCCTTTGGGGTGACTCTGCCAACAGGGGACAGGTTCCATTCTATTCCAATTTGTGTTGCTGTATATGTCCATACAGCAATACAGAACGCGGCTCCACCAGCTAATACAGTATTACCATATTTGTCATGAAACTCAGGTGTACGTGTCTGGTGGCTCTGCTTTGCCATTGTTTGTTGAATGCTTCGAACTTGGAGACGACTTAGCGCATTTCTGACCACAGGAAACATCGTGAAGCAGAAGATACAACTGCGGCAACAGTAGCTACCGCTTTGTTGCAATTCCACTACAGATCACCTCTCTGCCTTTTAAATAAAATGAAAATCAATAAATTTTTAAAAATCAAAAAAATTTCCCCATACCGTGATGAAGCAGGCTTTGGTGCTATCAAACACATTGACCCTGGGCGAGAGATGAGCAGCAGTGAGTGGAGGCCTGGCTGTGCTCCCTGACACCCTGAACGCGATGCCCGCTCTCCCTCTTCACCTGCTGGGCCTGCGGCTCTCTAACTACGCTCAGTTCTGGGATGGGCTCCTCTGTGCACGTCCCCCTCTGCCTGGCACTGGCAAGGAGGCGGTCAGTGCCTAGGAGAGACCTGCCCCACGTCAGTGACAGAACACGTGGAACACTGGAGGGAGAAATGATGGTGTGAAACAGGTGAGGATGAAGGTACATCAGACTCCTCCAGCCGAACTCCTCCGACAGGGGCCACCTGTGTGCACTGAAATGCAGCACAGGCTGGGACCTCAGCGCTTCCACACAGGGATCTGATCGGTACGAAGCTCACTGGAGAGCAAGAATGAGAATTGTCTGTGCCTCTGACACTGAGTCTCCACCCTACCTCGTCTCCGCCCTCTTGATGCCAGCCACGTACACATGGCATACACACTGCTGATGTCCTGCCCCTCCCATGGGGCCCCAGGCTGGGAAACCCAGGCGGGACAAGGGCCTGAGGCTGCACCTCTTAGCACATAATTGGAGAATCCCTGACTGCTGCCCACAGCCATCAGTGGTTCACAGGGAGGCCCGCACAGCCGAGATGGGCTCCATCTACCAGACTTGCTCTCCACTGTCTCAGTTCCCTCATCTGTCAAAGAAGAGTGATGAATCCCTGTTCATTTCAGAAACCTGGTACAGATAAGGTTCTCCCAGCAGCCTCAACAGAAACACTGTGACAGCTCCTGGAGTACAGCCAGTGCTGAATAAACGCTACCTTTCTGTATTTTAGCTCCAAGACTAGGAAGGCCTCGCGGGAAGGCACAAAGGAGAAATCATAGTGTAGAGGAAGGAGGACCGGGCGTCACCTCGAAGCGGGCGATGAAGTCCTTCAGGTTCGGGAACGCGTCCAGACACTGGGGGTCGAATACTTGGTTCCTCTCAATGACATCATAAGTGATGAAATCCACAAAGGTGATCTGCAGAAGGTCAAGGACGAGTAGTCTGGAGGCTCTGGAACTTGGGGCGAATCAGAGCCCTCCTCCACCTCCACCTGCCCTTTACCTTGTCCCCTGCAAACCAGGGCCGCTTCCCCAGGAACTGCGAAAGCAGCTGCAACTTCTCAAGCAGTTCCTGCAGATACCCAGGCTTCAGCTTCTCCTGAGGCAGAAAGTGGCTGTTACCCACCCAGGTGTTCGCGTTCGGCAGCAGGCAGCCTGCTCGGGGCTGTGCGCGGCCCAGCTGGCCGTGGGTGAGCAGCCCCTTTCCCTGAGACTGGCACCGGCTTTGAGAGAATGCGACAGGGGCTCAGACCCACAGGCAATGGATGTCCATCCCTGAATCTGTCACCTTTGGTACCCAAACAAACCGTGTCTGAAGGTCCGGCTCAGGAACGCCCTGAGCACCTGGCCGACCCCGACTCAACACACAGAGCGAAGCAGCACAGAATTAAGAGTGCTGGGGCAGAGCAGTCAGGAGTGGGCTGGCAGAAGAAGGCAGCAGGCCTTGAAGAGTTTCAAAAGAGACGAAGCAAATTCGAGAGGTTAAGAAGAAGCCAGGAGAGGGACAAAGGCTTTTGGTGACGGTGAGCTGCACGCTCGGGAAATCTGCTTGTCCCTGCGGGAGTCAAAGTGACAACACTGAGCAAACACTGGGCCAATGTCCAGAGGTGAGGGGGCCGTGCAGAGGCCCAGCCTACACTTCAGCTCCTCACTGACCAACTCTGCCTATTCCAGAAGCAGGTGATGCCATGAACCGCCTGGGAGAGCCGCCCGGGCAGAGCGACAGAACGCTCTGAACACAACCTTCGCTGGCCAGTACTCACATCCCACCCTGGGGAGTCTACGTTCTAGTCCGATTCACAGCTTTTCTGAGGCTTACGGGTCAAGGTTGGCAGTTTAGGAAACCAGTCGTAGCATCAGTGCTGAAAGAAGAAACTAGCAAGTAGGATGAGTGCCGATGGGATTGCAAGAGGCTGGGCACCTGACCCAGACCCTGCCTGGTCCAGCACAGGGAGGGCACTCACAAAGTCGGGACTGTAGCACAGTGTGGCCAGCAGCATGCGGGTGTCCATCAGCTGGTTCTCCTGAATGTCCACCCGAATCCTCTCCTCTTCCGTCTCCCCACCTGCAGTCCACACCACAGAGACCTAAGTGTCCCGGCCCAGCCACGCCCAGGGGACGCCCCCCGCCCCCGCCCTGCAGCCAGCCCCACTCACACAGGCCGTGCTTGCGGGCCAGGTAGTGCAGGATGGCATTGCTCTGCGTGAGCTTGTGAGTCCCATCAATTAGGTAGGGCAGCTGCGTGGTGACCAGGGCAGTCAGCTGGGCTCCCGGGCTCCCAGCATCCCCTTCCCTGAGCAGGGGCAGAGGGGACACCCGGTACCCTCTGTGCCCAGCCCATGGCAGGCTCTAAGCACACACTCTGTGCAGTGAGTGAGTGAGCTATGACACAGAACATCATGGAAAAGTACTGTAGAGAACCATGGAGGGCAGTGGTGAGCACAAGGCCCTGACCTCAGACCTCCAATCTGGGGAAAGAGACAGAAGCACAGACACCCTTCAGCTCCCCTACCCATTCCCTTCCCGACCAGGTCCCCTGCACCTACATTGGGGAAGTCCAGACCCAGGGTGAATTTCTCACTCAGCCACTGGCTTTGGTCATAGTCAGGAGCTGTGGATTAAACAAAGTGAGAGCAAAACCTCCCCAGTGTGCAGCCCTCTCCCCCAGGATCCCCCCGAAGAGTCAGGGGCGAGACCCTCCTCCCCATACAGGCATCTGGGATCTGAACCACCTAGTCTCCCACTGCAACATCCGAGGGGCAAAGAGCCTTGTAAGGGCTCTGGCCCCTGCAAGCCAAAGGCTCACCAAAGACTTAGAGAAGTCCTAAGGAAGAACCTTATCACTAGCATGGCCAATCCCAGCACCCCCTTCCAGTGCCCTGCGTTGGGAGGTCAAAGTGCACCCTCCAGGGGACCAGGCAAAGGCAGGCTCAGTCCAGCTGTTTCAGGCTGCAGAGGTGAGTAACAGATGGCTGCGCAGGGGTTGCCAGGTGTCAGCAGGGGCTGGGTGGAGATCAGAGTAGGCGGAGCATTACCGTCCCCCATCGTGTATCTCTTTTCCTCATAGCTGGTGTCCATGTATTCCAGGAGCAGGCGGATGGCGTGGGCCAGCTTGAGGGGATGGCAGGGGCAAAGGTCAGAAACGGAGCTACCCTGTGGCCCTGAGGCCATCCTTATCTGCTCCAGGTGAGCCCCAACCCTACCCTTTATACCTCCCCTCCCCCCCACACAGGGGAGCGCGCACAGTGAGCTCCTGAGGGCCTCAGGCAGAGGCTTCCACATGTCCTAGGGGAACCACCCCCAAAGACCGCCCCAGCTGCTCAGCGCCTCTCCCTGGCCCGTGCCCCCACGGGGCGGATCCCTGGCTCACCCCGCGGATGTCCCAGTAACCCAGCGTCACGGGCATGGCGCTGCTGATGCTGAAGTTTGGTGGTCAGGCCTCAGGGGATGGGCTAGGGCTTTATGAGAGTAGGGGGCAGGGAAGGGCGGGGCCTGGCTGCCGGCCGCTTTTCCTCCCGCCCCGCCCCCAAGACCCACCAACCCGGGACGCCCAGCGCTGAGGTCCAGCCCCTCCTGGAGGAAGAGCCTGGAGCCATGGAGCCTGCTGCTCCCAGGGTTGGTGGGGCAGGGTCTGCGCGCCAGGCTCGCCGCGTCCCCAGCGCGGCCCAGAGGCTCGGGCCCCCGGTTGTTGGCAGTGCCCTTGACAGATGAGCCAGACCTTATGAGAGCACCGCAGTTGGCATCGCTCAGCCCTAGCACTCCCCGGATTCTACTGCCCGGGTCAGGCCAGGGGCCCAGAGGGACAGCATCAGTAGAAGGAGAACGACCCCTAGGACAAAAGACAGTGAAAATGAGGTGAGAATTCAGATGACTGAAATCCTTGGGCATTGGGCTAAAGAAGAAGTGCATTGGCCTGTTTTGGTGCTTTGGCCCAACGATAAACCTAAATATGAACCTGGCCTAGCCGGCAGATGCAGATCCTGTTGGTCAGCCAGCAGGTTCTCACATTGACCTTGACAGTGACCTTGAGTGCAGTGGCCCCAGAGGGAACCAGAGCACAGGTGGCAAGGAATGTGACAGGAGCCCTGCCCCACTACAGAAGAGTGGACAGAGGAGGGAGTGCAGGGAGGGGCTGAGAGGACTCCCCACAGGACCAGGGAGCCAGGCCAGGTCAGACCCTCAGCTCTGCTGCTCCATGATTGTAGCCCTGGCCCTGGCTCCTGGCTTGAGTGAGGTCTTTACAATGGGAGGGTGCCTCCAATGCCTTGGAAGTCACTTTGACCTGTGACCTATGTCCAACTCCACAGGAAGGATGTCCCACCTGCTGCCTTTGTTCTTCAAGCCAGAGCCTATTTGAAAACTGGGAAATGAATTTAGTAATTTGACCTGTAATTGATCTGGCTTTGCTAAGAAGGCATTAGAAGAAATGACGGCGACATGAGACCAGATGCAGGGAACACTAAAAATCAAACGAAGCTACAAGTTAAAGGGCAAGGCAATTGCACTACAGAAAAAAATAAATGTGGGATTTAGCTAACACATTAGTAAGACCATAGACCCAGAATGTCAGCAAAGTCTCAGCTTACCTGAAAACATAAAGTTTCAACTCACCTGGGATGGGGTTTGCAGGACAGAAAGCCTGCACCCCACCTGTGTTGAGGCAGAGAGCTCGGGTGTCTGTGGAGCTAGCAGCCAGGAGACAGTGTTGCTGGGGCTGGCAGAGTGCAGTCCCTGTGGCAGGTGCTCCCCACCCATCCAGGCGGGCCCCTGTCTGTGTGCAGGCTCAGGAAACAGGCTGCAGCGTGGATTCCTTGGCAGGTTTCCCACAGCAGGACAATAGCACCATGTGCACACCCCTGGGCCTCACCCTCTCAACTGGTCCAGTTCTCAGCATCCATCAAGATTTGTCATTCTGAACTGTGTGCCTCTGAAGCCTAGAAAGATGGAATTTCTACATTCAATTGAGAAAAGACTCTCTAAATAGGCCAGCAGTGATTGGAGTAAGAATTCTGAAAGACACAGAACAGACAGGGGCACGTGGGCAATCATCCCTTTGGTCACCCCTTTACTGAGAACTCAGTTGTTGGGATCCCGCCACTCCCTAGGCCCTATGCACAGAAGATCCTTCTAGGGGTCTGTGGCTTGGCCAGCAAGACTCGCGTCAGCGGGAACTGCAGGGAGGGACTGTGACAGCGCGGCTCATCACGGTGCTTCTGTGCCCTGAGACGGCACTGAGGCTGGGGCAGGAGACGGAGGCCATGCTGCCCAGGGCCAGGACTCCGAGGAGCTGGAAGCCAGGCCCCGAGCACAGCTGGCCCTGCAGAAGGAGGAGCAGGTGCTGCAGGAGGAGGGCGGACTGGACTTGCAGGTCTCAGAAGCACCCACGGGGCCGGGAGGTCACGGCAGTGGGTGAAGTGGGTCTGTGAGAGGCGGCAGGGAGCAGTGGGGACTAGGGACGCTGGGAAGTGGTCTGAGAAGGGGTTGTGTCCTGTTGTTAGCGCAGAGAAACTCAACCCAGTGCTGTGGAATATCTGAAGTTCATGTGCTCCCTGCTGACTGCAACTGTTGAAATGAAATAAAAAAAATATATATATATAGAACTAGCGGATGGTAAATATCAATTGCTTTTTGCTTCTGTACTTTTGCTGCTTGCTCAATGACTTAATGCGGGATGTCCAGCGTAATAAAGTGTGGGGGGATAATTGTACCTCCATGACAGGCTTCACAAACTCCAGGAAGACAGACAGGCCCAATTCTTAGAAAATGTAACTTAATAAATACTTCCTGAAATTAATGGTCTCCTACTTCCTTGTGTGACCACTTCCTTCTGAGACGCGGACTGCGGCGATGCACCAATAAAATGCTCAAATTCAGGTAACTGACATATAAAAAATAAGGAACTAGCATACGTGCGTAATGACGAATATACTTGTTTACTCAAGTGTATGAAAACGCTGTGACGGAGAGAGGCGGAGCTTCTCACCCCGCACTGCACTATGTTGTATGTGTGGTGGGAGCCCCAGCCACCTGGCAATAAAACAGTAAATCCTCTTGCCCTTGCATCGGTGACTGTCTTTTGTGGGTTAATTGGGAAAGGTCTCGGAACCCATAATTCAACAGAACATGTGGACCAGCTCTGCCTTTTTAAATGGCTGCTGTGCTGGGCAATCTAAAGATACTGTGAGCAAATGGGCTGAAGTCTGATGGAGCGGTCTCTGACCTGGATCCCATAACTCCTTCCAGCCCACTGCTGACTGTCCAACACTCTCAAGGCAAATACAAAGCAATTCAACATAAGATGGCCTCAGAACTTTAGAAATAAAGTATCAGATATAATTACAACAGACAAATTAAAATGTGCCCTTTTTTATTGGAATTTTTAAATTTTATTTTATTTTCTCTTTTATGCTTTGCTTTGATCCAGAGGGGAGATTTTTTTTTCTTACTGTTTCATTTTCCTTAATCATCCGGGGCAGAGAGTGTCAGGTCTGCACTTGGATGGGGACAATCTTCATGTTGGGACTCAGAGCATGCACTGCACAAGCATCGCATTCCCTCGACCTTTGCTGGCCCTCACGGAGCTGTCACTCCTTGTCGCCTCCAGGGAAGTTCCTCTCACTGCATGTACTGCCATTACGGTTCTAATTCTTGGGCCTGACCCCAAATGCCATGACCACTGAAATGATTTTAAAGTCTCTTAAAAATCCCTTGGGGACAAACAGGAAATCCAGGAAGTATGTACTTTTCTTAAATCTGGATATAAAATAAAATAAAATAAAAATCACTACTCACAAGATATTGCCAAACTGGAATTAAGAATAATTTTTCTACGTTCCAGCCATGTTAAGAATAAGATTGAAGGGGCCCACATTGTGGCACAGCAGATTAAGCTGCACAGCTGCAGAGGGTTAAGCCGCTTCCAATCCAGCTCCCTGCTTACGTGTCTACTGGCAGCAGAAGATGACCGAGTACTTGGGGCCCTGCTACCTCATGGGAGACTTGGATGGACTTCTACTTCCTGGTATCAGCCAGGCCCAGCCTCGGCTGTTTGGAGTGAACCAGCAGATAGATGATCTCTCTCCTTCTCTCTCTCTCTCTCTCTCTCTCTCCTCTGTTACTCTGCCTTTCAAACTAATTAAATAAAAATTTTTTGTTTGAAAAAATAAAGTTTAATAAAGTTTCAAGATGTTAGAAGAATAACATAACTCAATTTTAAAAAGTATGGAAAACAATAATACTACAAAAAAAAAAAAAAAGGAACCTTCCACCAATATCCTTGTTAAAGCAATAGCCAAGGAAATATTTTCTAAATTCATACAGTATTAGTCCAATAACAAAACCAATAAAAGAAAGTGCAAATCAATAAAAATCAGACTTAAGAAAGGAGATTTAAAAATTTGTACAGGGGCTGGCACTGTGGCGTATCGGGTAAAGCCACCACGTGCAGTGCTGGCATCCCTTATGGGTGCTAGTTGGATTCCTTGGGACCCTGCACCTGTGTGGGACACCCAGAAGAAGCTCCTGTCTGGCTTCGGATCTGCGTAGCTCCGGCCATTGCGGCCCTCTGGGGAGTGAACCAGCAGATGGAAGACCTCTCTCTGTCTCTGTCTCTGTGTCTCTGACTCTTTCTCTTTCTCTCTGTCTCTCTGTAACTTTGCTTTTCAAATAAATAAATAAATGAATCCTTTTTCTAAAAAAAAACTGTACAAACGATTTTGGGGCTAGCGCTGTGGTGTAGAGGGTAAAGCTGCTGCCTGTGGTGCCAGCATAGCATATGGGCGCTGATTCCGGTCCCGGCTGCTCCACTTCCCAGTCAGCTCTCTGCTGTGGCCCGGGAAGGCAGTGGAGGATGGCCCAAGGCCTTGGGCCCTGCACCCGCATGGGAGACCTGGAGGAAACTCCTGGCTCCTGGCTTTGGATCAGCGCAGCTCTGGCTGTTACAGTCATCTGGGGAGAAAACCAGCGGATGGAAGACCTCTCTCTCTCTCTCTCTGCCTTTGAAGCAAATAAATAAATCTTAAAAAAAAAAAAAAAAAACTTTTGTAGAAACGATTTCTAAACTGGGAGAACATTCTGCTTTATCAGCATGTTACTGCTACAGCAAGGGCAACAAATATGAGTATCACAACCATGTGCTAAAAAAAGAAAGAGCTGAGTGTAGCGGTGACAGAAGGCATAGCAACAGGACACGGGGTCTCTGGGAAACTACAGGATACTTTTCATAACTTTGCAAAAACAAATGTATTACATAAATGGTCGTAAACTATTGACTAGCATGGACATGCGGTGAGGATGTCACTCAATAAGCCTAAATTCAAACATCAGGAAAGTTATATTAGGGACAAGAATATGGGCGCAGCCGCACGGGCCGCCGCGCCCAGCACTGGGCGCGCTGTGTGGACCGAGCTGGCGGCCTGCGGCGGTCCTGTGGCCCCAGCGCGCCGCGCCTAGGCTGTTCAGAGCCGGCGGCACCCGGGCGGCAGGCCGAGCCCGCGGGGCCCCAGGCGGAGGCGGAAGCGGGCGCGGCGCCGCGCGGAGGACGGCGGCCAGAGAGGCGCGCCCGCGCTGCAGCCCGCGGGACCGCGCCCCCGCCGCCGGGCCAGCCCCGAGGAGTGCTCGCCGCCGCCGCTGCCGCGCGCGCGAAGCGGGGACGTGTGGGACATATGGATTTGGGATATGAATTCATTTGAAAAACCACTGTGGGGGTATGAATGTGATTTCTGATGAAACTGGATTGGAATAATTTTGATGATCTTTGTATATATATATATATATTTTAAAATTTTGCCTTTGACTTAAAGTGTCATGAGAAAATTTGCATACTGCAAGGTGGTCCTAGTCACCCCTTGATTTGGGTCCTCTTGGATATGTTCCTGCTGCTTTACTTCAGTGAATGCAACAAATGTGATGAGAAAAAGAGAGAGGACTTCCTGCCAGGGATGTTCCAGAGCCCACACAAAAGCCTCATGAAGTCCTGGAGAAATGGGAAACAGTAGTTATTCCTAAAGAGCATCAAGAAAAGAGGAAAGAGACGTTTAGAACCAATCAGCTCAATTTAATGGCGAGCGAGCTGGTTGCACTCAACAGATCTTTACCAGATTTGGGCTAGAAGGGTAACACAAAGGTGTCTCCAGATAGTCTTCCTACAACAAGTGTGTGATTGCTTTCCACAATGAGGCTTGGAGCACACCTCTGCGAACTGTTCACAGTGTCATCAGTCGCTCACCAAGACACGTGATAGAAGAGATTGTTCTAGTAGACGATGCCAGTGAAAGACTTTTTGAAAAGACCCCTAGAGAGTTATGTGAAAAACATTAAAGGTACCGGTTCATGTAATTCGAATGGAACAACGTTCTGGACTGATCAGAGCTAGGCTAAAAGGAGCTGCCCTGTCAAAAGGCCAAGTGATCACCTGTTTGGATGCTCATTGTGAGTGAGCAGTTCGGGGAGCTGGAGCCTCCTGTAGCCAGGATCAAACAGGACTGGAGAACAGTGGATATTTGAGGAGGAGAAAACCCAGGAATTTCCTTGAGGATTTGGCAGTGTGGAGGAACTTTGGGAATTGTTACTGCTCACATGTTGGACATGTGTGTCATAAAGCTACGCCTTACACGTTTCCAAGAGGCACAGGGCAGGTTATCAGTAAAAATAACAGAAGACTTGCAGAAGTGTGGATGATGAATTCAAGATTTTTTTCTAGATAATCTCTTTAGGTGTAACACACGTAGATTATGGAGATTTATCATCGAGACTTGGTCTCAGACACAAGCTACAGTGCAAACCTTTCTCTTGGTACCTAGAGAATATTTATCCTGATTCTCAAATTCCATGTCACTATTTCTCATGGGGAGATCGAAATGTGGAAACAAATCAGTGTCTTGATTACACGGCTAGAAAAGAGAATGAAGAAGGAATTTGCAATTGTCACGGTATGGGAGGGAATCAGGTTTGCTCGTATACGGCCAACAGAGAAATTAGAACAGATGGCCTGTGCCTGGGTGTTTCCAAACTTCATGGCCCGATCACAATGCTCACATGCCACCACCTAAAAGGCACCCAGCTCTGGGAGTATGACCCAGTGAATTAACCTGACGGCATGTGGAAGTAATCAGTGCCTGGACAAAGCCACCCAAGAGGATAGCCAGGTGCCCAGCATTAGAGACTGCCGTGGAAGCCGGTCACCGCAGCGGCGTCTTCGACACGTCACACTTCCAGAAATAGTCTGAGACCAAATTTACAAAAAAAGAAAAAATAATGATCGACTGGGCTACCTCAGCATACATTCCTGCCACACTCTTCAGGAAGAAAAAAAAAAAAAAAAAAGAGAGAGAGAGAGAAGTGCTTTCCTCCTGTGCAGGATGTAAGGGTTCCCAGCCATAGAATGGAGACTTGGACTCTGCCAGCTCTGCACCAGCTGTGACCCAGCCTTCCTGTCCAAGGGCGGGAAACTGCAGAGTAGTGAGACTGCGCACTGACCTTGACAAGGGCCGCAGGATCTCTCCTCAAGAGCCATGGGAAAGACCATCCAGACAGTGAAACAGGCAACAATATGCTTTCCGGAGAGCTACACCTTTTATGGTTTGCCTGCACAACAGTAAGTCCTACTGAAGTGCTGTCATGGTGAAGAGATTTCCAAGAATTTTTTCCTGATTAGAACTGGTCGCCAGTATATTAAATATTGATATAAAAATAAATGAAAATGAACTGGAATCGGATTCAGAATCATGAAAACATTTTTGCAACAATAAAAACTGTATTAAACAGGGTTCAAAGGGAATTAAAACTAAACTATGAGAAGTACAATTTGTTATAGTATAGTATCAAAGTTCTACATAGATTTTATACCTCAGTGGGGAAAATAACTGATTATAATGACGTGCATTTTGTGTTCATCTGTGATAGTCATGGATGCTTTTACGTTCCTTGGGTGCTGAAACTGAGCTTAAAAAA